GGATTTGGGCTATTTATCTAGGCAACCGATTCAACTGTTTTGTGATAATAAAGCGGCATGTGACATTGCTCATAATCCAGTTCAACATGATCGTACAAAACATGTCGAGGTAGACAGATTCTTTATCAAGGAGAAGTTGGATGACAAAATCATGGAGTTACCGAAGATTCGATCAGAAGATCAGTTGGCTGATATCCTCACCAAAGCAGTTTCAAGCCGAATGTTCTCAAAGTTTTTGAGCAAGTTGGGCATGTGTGACATCTATGCTCCAACTTGAGGGGGAGTGTTGAGATTTGTTCTCGATCCTTGTAATCTCCTTTTGTAATTCTTTCCTAATTAGTCCTAGATTTCTGATTAATTAAGTTTGTGAAAGTCCTTTTTTAGTAGTAGAACATCTTTAATTGAGGCCGCTCATCACCTTATCCGTCCCAGAAGGAGAAACTGAGAAAAGAGCTTTAAAAGTATTAATTGAAAGTTAGAAAGTGTATACCAAGAAAAAAGTTGTGAGTGATTCTAAAAGATGATCGTATGCATAATATTTGTACCAATTACAACAATATTGCTCTTACATCTTCTATTTAGCACTAAACAAAAGAAAAAAAAAAGAAAAAAAAACTTGCAATTTTATCTGTTTTTCTAAGCTAATTACTAAGAGCATTGGAGGACATCTATATATATATATATATATTTATGTGTGTGTATATATATATATTTAAGGTTGGTATAGTGATATATATATATAAGGTTGGTATAGTGATTTAATTTTGTGATATACAGAGATTCAAAGGGCCGACAGGCTCACCTGTTTGACTCACTTATGCCTCCCGAACTCTTCTTACAATGTGTCCTAACTGCACAAAAAGAGAGCCACTTCGAACCACTCAACTTGGACCATACTATATAGTATATAGTAGTACTATTTACCCCTTTTGATCCCCATTCGGTTCTCATCATATGATTTTTTTTTTAAACTCCTTATGGTACTACAATAGTAGAAAGTACCAATTATTGATTGTCACTTTGAGAGAGAGAGAGAGAAGGAAGTTCGACTTATATTCTTCCTATGTGGGCACGCTCACAGCTTGAATTGACAACATTGACATTATTCATGGCATTTTACATATTTATCTTCTTTAAGAGGGTGTAGGGTAATCGTACTGATATGTTGCTAAAATCTTCCTAGCCATCATGTGATTAAGTACTGAAAAGTGGCAAACTGATTCTATTAGGATATTATATGGATTCAGAATACACTAGGCCTATCAAGATTATCATCAGCATCAGCATTAGATATTCTTCCTAGGTGTTCATTTACTGTTGGGATAAGCCTGCCACTACTTATATATGCCACTATAAAAAAGCATTAGTCATGTTTCATAGCATTTCATTATTACAACTAACTCATGTGTTTCATAGCATTAGTCATTTCATTATTTCGTTTGGTTTGATTAGTGGATTCGTATCATAATTTAGATTATAATTTGTAATTCGTTACAGTATTTTTTTTATAAAAAATACATATAAATCAAGTATGATTCTGAATCATAATTCTAAATTATAATTCTGAATCCGTCAATTAAACGTCTACTTAATTCACCAATCTAGACCTATCTATCAGTTTTAATCCATCTGCTTTTGAATTTATTACGTCCTACTCCATTATAAGTATGAAATTTTTTTAAGCATTTCTCAAGATATATATTATATATTATTACTGAAAAAATAATGTTTTGTGTGGTTAAAGAAAACTTGTAGTATTGTATTTTCTTTTTTTTTATTTTTTTTAATGTCCTAAGCCCTTTATAAAAAGAGTTAATGAGAAATGACATATCATATTTTTCTTATTTATTTGAGCAGTGTGATGAAAAATTTTTTTTATCGTAAATGACTATTTTTTAAAAATATTACTAAATCTCAAAGTTGGTAGGTAATGGTGGAACTTTTTTTCCCCCTTTTTATCTTTCTTCTTTTTTATTTTTTACTCGGTTATATTTGTCACTTTGCATCGCTTCTGTATCCACACGTGGCCAACATATATAACTTAGGGATGCCAATTTTACATATTAACTCATTTATTAGCAGTGACTAACTTTAAATGGGGTGGAAAAAATCTGATTTAAATGGATGCGGGTTTTGGACGAATTAATTTTAAATTCATGTTTTATATTTTTATGTCAATTAATTATTAATTATTTATCTTACGATGAAATTACCTAATCGGATAAATAAGACCCGCAAAAATCACGAATTCGTGACCCCCCCTCTCCCCCCCAATTTGTGAAAATTTATTTTAGAAACTCTAAAAGCCATATAAATGTAAAAAATAAAGTCATAGATGATTTATTTTTAACTCTTTCTATTAAGCATTTATTATTTAATTAATCCCTTATATTTAATTACACTTTAACTAAAATAAATTAAAAAAACTTAATGAACATAAATGCACTTGCCTTGCACGCACAGTTTTTGCTAGTCTATCTAATATCTATACAACATATAAGAGAGAATGGGTTTTTTTGACTTTGGAACGAAACGTTTCGTTGACATTTTTTTTTTTGGAGAAAAAGATCCAGTGTGATGCGCTTTGATAACTTGCCACGTGTCAAAGCTTCTGAACTGTTGGATCAAAACTATACCACATGTCGCTGTTCAACTGGCAGCAACATGACACGTGGCGCTCACTGGTTGGCTGAAACAAGTTAGTGGCTGCCCTATTATCGCAGAGCTGCAGTCCGTGCAGCATCCACGCGCGACTATAGGCGCGTGCTCTGCACGAGCCTATCTGGTCCGTATACTCTTTTGATCCCACGGCCACAAAAAAATTTCGGTTTCATTTCTTAATTATTATTTTGGGCTTATTTGTAGTTCAATTTGTCCATTTTAACACAGTTTTGTCTTAAATTTTCAGTGCTACTTAAATGAAAATGCTATGAATGATTCTCATAAAAATAAATTTAACAAAAATACACTAAAATAAAATAAAATCACACCAAATTAAGTAAAATTAAATTAAACAAAATAAACTAAAATTGATCTAAACACAACAAAATAACTTAAAAATTTTTCCCTTTATCTTCTGCCTTAGATCTCTGACCGCCCAAAACAATCCAGCTCTTCTATTTTTAATGTTTATTATTTATTACATTTGTTTATTATTTTGAAGTGATTTGTGGTTCAATTTTATCTATTTTAACACCATTTGTACTAAATTTTCGATGCTATTAGGATAAAAATGTTATAAAAACAAAACATTATAGAACTACTTTTAAACACAACAAAATAACTTAAAATCTTCTTTTCTTATCTTTTACTTTAAATCTTTTTCTCGCGTCTTTATTTTTTTTACGTTCTTTTTCTTCTTCTTCTTCTTTCTTCTTATTTACAAAAATAATTTGACAACTATTATTTTAAATGAATCACGCGTGTCATAAAAACTAGTATTCATATAATTGTATATATCCACACACATTTGTAAGACTTCAAAAAATACTTAACCTAATCATTCTTTCTTTTTTTTTTTTCCTATTTAGCCGGGTTTACTTTTTCGTTATACATTGCTTCACTCATAAATATGTAGAACTGATCTACGTAGACTTAATTTATATGCATTTTTAATCCTATCCGAATGATTCAGCTGGGGCATTTAATAATCACCCATATTAGTCAAATTATACTTAATAATAGTAAAAATGCAGTAGAATAAAGTCTATTAATAACCAAATTCTACTGCATTTTTTACTTATTATTAAGTATTAGTCAAATTCCAAGCTGAAATTATAAATATAAATACTTAATTTTTTTTTTTTAAAAAGTCTGTAAATTTAGTTATGTCAAGTCTCTACTAAACATGCATCTTTCTCTCTCACCGTAGACTCGTTCCTAATATGCATTCCATTGTACGAAACATTAGTATATATTCTTTAATTATTTGTTGTGTATTATCTGTTGTTGGTAACGTTAGTTAATAAAACAAAAGCAATTTGTTGAGATGTAAAATCATCGATCAACATTCAATCCATTTTGTCTATTAAGTTCCATATATTAGTTGTATGACAAAGTCCCAGAATTTGGCAAAGTTTGGTAGAGAAAGAGAGAGAGAGATAAGTGAACGTGCCAGAGTAAGGAAGCAAAAGAATTTTGTTAATGTTATCCATTCATACGTTTAGAATGTCGTTGACTTTACATGTTTAATTGAATAAATATTTTTCTTAAGAAAAAAGCTATTGAATGATTCAGCGGGTTAATTTTATAATCCATTCATACGTTTAGAATTTCGTTGACTTTACATGTTTAATTGAATAAATATTTTTCTTAAAAAAAAAGAAAAATTGAATCAAGATTCAATCCACTTGTTTGTGCTTCGTGTAGAAGTGGTTGTTGAGAAAAGTGTATGTGTGTGTTGTTCTATATGGAAAATAGATGAAAGTGTGAAATGGTTTATATACATGGAAGGACTCAAGACTTAATAGGTTAATTTTTTAAGTTAAGTTAGGGTCTTGAAGTGTGTTCGGTCAGTTTCACATGTAGAGTCTCCCTAACAAGTGTATCATAGCCGATGGTTCGTTCGGGTCAAGCGATCACACTCGATTGCAGTTGCAAGTGCGGATGGTAGAGCATTTGGTGGACTCGCACGGTTTCGGTTCTTTTTCTCTTGCTCGAGTTGGCTCCCGTTGAGAGAAAAAAGTGCATGTGTGTCTTATCCCACATGAAAAGTTGATGAAGATGTGAAATGATTTATATACATTGAATGACTCAAGACCTAATAGATTAACCTTTTCGGTCAAATTAAATTCTTGAAGTGTGTTAGGCCAGTTTTGCATGCTGTGTCTTCCCAACAGTAGCGAAATAGTTGGCGCTCATGAAAATGTCAAATGTTAAGATGGAATTCTTCCTTTTTTTTTTAATAGCCAGTGGAGTCATCCCTTTGCTATAAATTAAGACAGTAATCGGTATCCTTCCACTCACATAGCAACAAAAAATTCATTCTCATTTCAAGAAAAATGAAGTCCTTTTGTGACCCTTTATCGTTTGCCAAAATTACCATCTTTCTTTTTTCATTTGTGCTGCTAGCTACGGCTAATCACGCTCATGAAGAGTTTCTCCAATGCCTGAGCTCTCTTATACCCAAATCAATTATTTACACTCCAAATAACCCGACGTATTCCACTATATTAAGTTCAAAGAATCAAAATCCTCGTTTTTCTTCTTCTTCGATCAAAAATCCATCTGTCATCGTGTCACCATTAAATGTCTCCCACATAAAACCCACTGTCTACTGCTCTAAGAAACACGGCGTGCAAATAAGAATTCGAAGTAGTGGCCACGATTATGAAGGCGTTTCTTTTCAGTCCACTGTCCCATTTTTTGTACTTGACTTGAGTAACCTAAGGTCTATTCGCGTTGATGCGGAGAGCAAGACGGCATGGGTTCAGACAGCTGTGACGCTTGGTGAGCTTTACTATAGGATTGCTGAAAAAAGCAAAACTCTTGGCTTCCCAGGCGGTCTTTGCAGTACCGTTTGTGTTGGTGGACAATTAGGTGGAGGAGGTTATGGCTTTCAATCGCGAACATACGGCCTCGCATCAGATAATATTATTGACGCGCAATTGATCAACGCTCAAGGAAAAATTCTCAATCGGAAATCCATGGGGGAAGACTTGTTTTGGGCCATACGTGGTGGCGGAGCAGGAAGCTTCGGAATTGTAATTGCCTGGAAAATTCAACTGGTTGACGTGCCTCCCACAGTGACTATCTTTGAAGCAACAAGGTATTGGGAAAACAATGCAACAAAAAAGTTTATTCATCAATATCAACGCCGTGCTTCTAAGATCGATAAGGATCTAACTATCTTCATCGGATTCCGAACTGTGAATGCGAGCGATGAACAAGGGAATTCAAAAATTAAAATATTAGCTATTATCTCAGCTACATTCCACGGTAGCAGGGATAGGCTCCTTCCATTGATGCAAAAAGAGTTTCCTGAATTAGGTTTGCTTAAAGAAGATTGCACAGAAATGTCGTGGGTCCGATCCATTGCCCATTGGAATGGTTTTAGAGACGATGATGATCCCTTGGATGTTCTACTCAATAGAACAAACAATTTCGTACCGAATGCTTTTAAATTGAGATCTGATTATGTGAAAAAGCCTATTTCAGATGACGTGTTGGAAAAATTATTGGATAGATTGTATGAAGAGGAGCTAGGAGGAGGTGTTGTGGAATTCTTTCCCTCGGAGGAAAATTGAGCGAAATTTCAGAATCTGAAATCCCATTCCCACACCGAGCTGGAAACCTCTACAACCTTCGGTACATGGCTTCATGGGTAGTAGGTGAAAATACTACAAGCATCAACAATCATCTTAGTTGGGTAAGAAGTGTTTACAATTTCATGACTCCCTATGTGTCAAAAAATCCAAGAGGTGCATATCTCAACTTTAGAGACCTTGACATCGGGGTTAATCCAAATAAGAGTGACACCATAAGTGCTTATGACTATATTAAACAAGTAAGTGTTTGGGGTACTAAGTATTTTAAAAACAATTTCTACAGATTGGTTTATGCAAAGACTTTAGCTGATCCAAATAATTTCTTTGCATACGAACAAAGTATCCCACCTCTTCTTTCACATAAAAAGAGGTGATTAGAAATGCTTGTTGCCTTGTATTGAAATTATTATCTTTAGCTTTCTTACTTTGTGCCTTTTGAATAAAGGTCATTTTGTGACCATATATGTATCAAGTTTCCAAATGAAAATAAAACTCCCTTTCTATGTTGTGTTAATTCCTTGACAATAATTGATTAAAAAGTTGCCACACATGTAAGAGGCCACAATTGACCATTTTTTGCTTATTCAGTATTTTTATTTTAGTTTTAAATGCGTGTTGCTCCGACGATGTAGTCATTATATTATAGTAGGAAAAAAATCATTTAAGTATATTACAGTATTCGACTTTGTTAAAGTATTATACATGCAATAAAAACTTCTATTGAATCTTACGTTATTCAGAAAAATAACGTTCAGATACCACAAAGTCCTTTTCTGGTACTCAAATTACATATCTATCGTTTTAGTTCAAAAACATTAAAAAATGAAAAAAAAAAAAAAAAAAAAAAAAAAAAAAGCTGGCATGGGTTCAACCGTGCCCGTGATTTTGTAAGCAACTAGTGTTTACCTAACAAACAAAAACGTGTAACGCACCGAAAAATTAAACAAGATTAATTGAGATAATTAAGATTTATTAGTGTGCTTAATCTGATTTAATTAATTAATTATTGATTAATAAACATTTCTGACGTGTAAATTTAAATAATTCTAAGGTATTTAAATATTCTCAGTAATTACATTTTTACCCAGAAGTGTATATGGGCACATTTCTGGACTGTTATTTTAAATATTTTGACACCTGTCATTTCTTTTCTTTTCTTTTTCCTTTTTCCTTCCTTTTCTTTTTCCTTTCTTTCCTTCCATGCCCGTGCGACCCTCTCTCTCTCTCTCCTCTCTCTCGTTTTCACTCTCTCTTTCTCTCTCTCCCGTTTTTGTCTCAAACCAACCAAATCTTGAACCAAAGAGGAACTTCAAGAAGTTTTCAACGCCAAGAGAAGGATTTGAGGTAAGGTTTCTGAAAAACTTCTCTTGAATCTTGGATTTTCGGATTTAAAAACTTATTTTTGGTTCGAAATGGATTTTGATGGATTTTGAGTAGAACTATGGTAGAAATTGGAAATCTTGGGTTCTTTGGACTTGATTCAGTACCTAGAGCCCGGATCTAGTGGTTTTCCCTTGTGCTATTTCGATTTAGGACTTCGATTTGTAGGTTTTGTATTGATTTTCTTTGGATCGGCCCTTCTGGACATCCTGCCCTGATTCCACCGGTCGACCTGTGCGGTCGACCGGTCTGCACTACATCAAGTCGACCTATGCGGTCGACCGAAGTGCACACCACCGGTCGACCGGTGGTGTTGCGCTGCGCTATCACTGGTCAACCGGTGTACACGAGGTTTGACCCTGTTTTGCCTAAAAAACCTTGTTTTGACCCTGATTTTAAGAAGAACCCAAATTAGCTTCGTTTAGGGACCTAGAATGAATGGATTAGCATCTTTAATCCATGTTTTGAGATTGAAAACCCTTGGAATGATGATTTAAAACATGAGTTGATTAATGAAACTTGAAAATTGATTAAGGCACACTAATAGGAAATCAAATGGTATAATTGAGATTGAAATTGCTTCAGGAAGGTGAATTGGATCCTAAAGCGTGGTTTTGTATCAGTGCTAGCCGAGGACTCGGATTGAGAGGCTTTAAGGAAGTGAAAGCCGGAATAGTGTAACGCTAGGCAGGTTTGGTACTTGTGAGGTAGGATTTCTTACCCCTTTCTTTGTGAGCCTGTTTTCAAAAGGATTTTTGGCCTTGCAATTGTTTTAAAGAAAGGGCATGTTTCCAAAAGAAAAATATTTTAACCCCCATGGCTTGTGTAGATTCTGGGGAGTATAATGAACTGTTTCATAAAGTTTAATGAATGATTCCTTAAGACAAGTGATCTTGTGAATCGGTAAACCGGCTGATGGCCTAGATAGGATGTGGAGAGTACTGTTGGTTACCGAATTGAATTCGGATGCGGAAGCGTGGTGGAGGGCGGATCAAGTATAACAAAAATTTTCACAAAACTTTTGAGATATTCTATAGATTATATCAATTTATGCACGAATAAATTAATCATATTAATTTATATATTAAGAACTCAATTAGGAAAAATACCTGGAGGCCGACTCGGTTGATAACTTGAGTTCTTTGACCTCGAACAATCCTTACTCCAAAACCTTCTGTTTAGAAAACCAAAGTCTTCCACGTCAATTCCTTGAATCTACATAGACGTGTGTGTGGGCACACTCGAGACAAAACGGGTTGGATCAAATACTCAAATTTCCACAAAGACCAACGCATGCACGATGTGAAATTTTTGGAGAAAAATTTTCCTTCTCACTCTACTAGGGATTTCGGCCAGCCCCTCTAAAATTAGGTCAAAAATTGTCACGCGTAATTTTTTATCATATCTTATTTATAGAGTAGAAGTCAAACTTCTAGAAGGAATCAAATCTCTATCTCTTATTTGAATTTAGAACAAAAACTCCTCTACCTTATCCTTGATATGGCCGGCCCTTGTGTAAAGATTCTCATCCCTGTGTGGCGCCAATTACAGATAGGGAAGGAAGAGAAAATCATCATTTATCATGTAGTCCAATTTTAATTCAAATTCAAATTCGAATTTAAATCAAACTTAAATTAATTTGAATTCTAAATTGAACAACTTATCAAATAAGTTTAAAATGATAAATTTAAATTATATTCACAATTCAAATTCAAATTTAAATAATCACATTATTTAAATAATAATTAATTCTCAATTAATTATTTTTTAGTGTTTAATTTTAGAATTCTGTAATTCTAAAAATTCCCATTTTGTCCTTTGTGTCTGGTAGAATTACAAGGACGACGCGG